TGGTGCCTTCCAAAGGTCAGTATCAGGACACTCCTCTTCCTTATATTTATCAACGATCTAACTGAGGGGTTGAAATTACATACCTCCTCTACTCAGATGACGTCAAAATAGTTGGCGGCTCGTTCAATCGACACGTAATACCAGCGCACTTTGTAGGTTTTCTGCGTAGATGATGATATGGCATCTACCTTTAAAAGCAACAAAATGTTGTGTTTTGAGTAAAAATATTTTCAAAACTCTTCTAATGCTTGGGATCCCAAATCAAGAATCACGTACTCCAGAACAAGGGAGATCAGTTAAAGAGCCTGGACTAGCGGGTACGGCTAGCCACTAGAATGAGNGAATGAGCGGTGCGACAAACGGACTCCTCTACAAGGACCGGCTCCGGCACCTTAATCTCTCCTCTCTGTACCGGAGTCGCTTGCGGAGGGAAACAATCGAAGTCTTCAGACAAATGAAGAAAAATAAGTTAGGTCTTCTACCATTGAGATTCATGAAAGAATTAAGGCGTCACGAATAACATTTAGAAAAGAAGACAAGCAGTTTAAAAGTAAGAAAACATTTCTTCATCAGGGGGGGTGATCAACTACTGGAATCGTTTTCCCGAAAGGCTTGTTGAGGTAAATACAGTACGAGCCGTTAAGATGGCACTGAATCTAATGTGGATGAAAACGTTTCCATAGGTAACCCAAAAATGAAATTGAAGTACTATTTTCTTCTTTCTTTTGTTCTTTCTCTCTTTATCTCACCAGTTTTGCATAATGTTGTGTTGCCCACAAGCCGGTGATTATACATATAATATATCTGTTTCCTACCGACTCAGCGAGAAAACAGAATACTCTCTATTTCTCAGCAGTACCTGAAACAGGTACAACCAATACTACATCCGAATCTGTAATCTTTGGATGACTGCGGCACTATCAGTTGTGCTGCATGCCCGGATGAAAGTACAGCTTGATCATTCTGTAGAGGAGGCTAATCCGGAATCAGGACAAAAATTAGGCCCAGGCCTCTAAGTCCTGGAAACTGGTTTTGATCGGATTGAAGTGGGAGCCGAAATATAAAAGCTGTTTACTGGCTGTTTCTCTGACAGTGGAGAGAACTGAACGCACAATTTACCCCAGTCAGCATATGGGTACACTCGAGAGTCACCCTTTTGTCATGGAGAGGCATCTCGTTAATTATTGAATTATGGAGTGTGCATGTCTATTCTAAAAACTCAATTTAGTCCATTTTCGCAAAACAAAATCCATGAGTTAGCTGAGCATTTGACGTAGATGGATATAATTTCATTACACAAAAATCTACTCAATTAAAGGATTATATTTGGAATTTGAATTCCTTTTGGTACAATTTCGGTTGCTACACGGCAATGCTCGTTCTGACTTGGACTGGACCCGTCTTAACATGAAGACGACCGGAAGTCTTCATTCCCGTTTACAAAGCCATGGTCAAACCAAACCTAGAGTATTGTGTGCAGGCTTGGTTACCCTTATTCAAGAATGATGTTGCCTGTTTGTAAAAAGTTCAGAGATTAGCCACCAGAATGATTGAAGGCCAAAGGGGAAGAAGGTATGAGAAAAGACTAGAAGCTTGAGGACTTTTCCGAGTAGAAAGGAGACTTGGTAGAAACCTTCAGAAGCTTAAAGGGAATATCGGGGTTAGGAGCGGCAGTCTCTTCATATTAGCTTCCCAACACGGCATTGGGTTCAAGTTGATGAAGCAGAGGCGCTGGCCAAACACGCGGAAACACTTATTCACCAATAGGGTAGTCGATAGTTGCAACCGACTTCCAAAGGAAATAGTCGACCTGCAAAGTGTCGGCCTTTAAGACTACACTCGATAAGCGATGGGTGGAACTATTCCCATCTATGGCAGTGAAGATGAGTGTAGGTGTGCCAAATGTTCAGGTGCCCATCGGGGCCCATGTAGTGAGCATACTATTGAAGGAATTCTGGACGTTTGATTGGTCGTGGCCATACTCAGGCCTGTGCAACCTGACCTGACCTGACCTGAATTTGAGTAAACTATGTCAACTATTCAGTTACCGGGAGAATAAGGTGCCTTAAGGGTTTTGGAGAGGTACGGTCTCCAAATAAGGTTGTAGAAAATGTGATTTCGGCTCGAGCTCAACTCTAGCGATCCCTGGAGTAATTCGAATTACATAAAGCGAGTAGCGTGACATTGTGTTTTAATTACAACACAATATTAATAGTGGGCTTTAAGACACAACTGTGTTTTAAAATAAAATTCTAAGGAGTTTTTATTTTAAATATGCATTTGGATAAAAATATATAGGAAGAAAACAAAATGTTTCGAAAGTAAATTTTCATCAACTTTAACTGCAATACCATGCAATGGAAGGATGTGCCTCTTCTAAAATACAAATAAAGTGAACTTGATAACCAGCTAGTTAGCATGCATTATTTTTGTCCTTAACTTAGACCCGTACTCATAGAATCAACGGTTGCTAATTAATCAGCATTTTCAAATTTGAAAATGCAAAGCAAGCACAGTAATGTCGTTTTATTACCTCGAACTACGTGTAAATTTTATTAATTACGCGAGAATATTATTATCTATTTGCTATTATTTATTCTTGAATAATATTATTTATAAATATTTTCATAATATGATTATTATTAAGTTATCATATTAACCTACCGGCGGTTTTCTACCATGACTGGTAGCCTTGACAGCATGCTGGAAACCTTCGTCACTCAAGAAGTTTTCTACGTCAGCTCGTGTATTAAATTCATCGAAACCAGCATAAATGTCATCACCAGAATCAGTCATTTGATTTGCTTACTCTTTTTACGTTTGCGCTTCTGAAAGCATAACAACACCTTGTAATTGGGTGCATTTAAACAAACATGCAAGCCGGGTCAGGTCGGGTTGCACTGGACGGTAAAGGCTTTCGCCTATCGAGCGTCCACATGCTGTTCAGGTCAGGTTAGGTCGGGTCATAGAGTTTTCGACTGTTGCCAATTTGAGTCCAGGTTCTTACACCGTGTGCATATCGTTTCCCTACGTGTACTTCGAAAATACAGGACAAGACAAATTCAAATCACAGGACGTAGAGAGGCCTTCGCCTGTTGGGTGTCCTGGTAATGGCGGGTTCCGTCTGTGGACCGACTCGCCTGCGAGTGTAAAGCTTCTTCAAATTCTCCAAGAGGGAGTAATATCTGGAAGGTAGAAGAGAAAGGGAGACGGCGCAGTATCTGTTATGTGCAGTCCATCAGTAAACTTAAGAAATCCTGATCCCTAGGGCAGTTCTGGGAATAAGAGGTACCACTCCTTGTCCAGCTCAACTTTGAAAGCCTTCATTGTAGGACAATCAACTATTCGAGGTGGTAGTTTGTTCCATGCGAGGACTACTCTATTTGCAAAGAAGTGATGTCTAATTGCTAGCCTGCACCTGGTTCTCTCTATTGTGTAACAGTGCCCTCGGAGGATGTCGTTGGCCCTCAGGGTGAACAGGTGTCCAATCGGGGACTGCTCCATATTCCTGGNTCAATGAGGTCCCCCCTCATCCGTCGGCGTTCTAGAGAGAACAGATTCAGTGAGTTCAGTCTTTCCGAGTAGCTGAGTCCTTTTAGACCCCGGACCATCCGGGTTGCTTACCCCTGAACGTCTTCTAGGACCTTGATGTCCTTCTGAAGATACGGTGCCCAAGCCTGAACGCAGTACTCGAGGTGGGGCCTTACGATGACTGTGTACAGGGGCATGAATACACTAGGACAACGGTTGGTGATTACCGTTCGGAGTCTAAACAGACCACGCCT